TTATGATTTTCTCACATACAGCTTTTGTTGAGATTCCGCTCTCTTGTTTTGTTTATTTTGTCTCTTTGTGGTGACAAAGAGTCTCTTTGTGTGTGTCTTTGTGCCATGCAGGCTAGGCACATTCTCTCCCTCTAAGCCACACTCAGCCCAAACTAGTTTCTTTTTATTTCTCATTTATTGTTTTGTTGTTTTTATCATGAAAGGGAAGAACTGGTTTCATTCTGGTTTTGGGGATGGGGTTTGAGACCAAGTATCTGTCAGTCTGTAGCCCAGGCTGACCTTGAACTCGGGGCAGTTCTTACAAACCAGCTGCTGTCCCTGCGTTGCTTGGATGGTTTTGTTTGTTTTGGATTGGGTTGTTTTTTTTTTTTTTTTTTCGGTCTTTTTGAGACAGGGTCTCCCTGTAGCCCCAGCTGTCCTGGAACTCACTATGTAGACCAGGCTGGCCTTGAACTCACAGAGATCCACCTGCCTCTGCCTCCTGAATGCTGGGATTAATGCTCGGATGGTTTTAACAGTTGAGATGATCTGTTAGTGTCTGTGACACTCACTGACCTTGTTTGCTCAGCCACCTTTGCATTTGGGGAGTAAACCCCATGTGGTCATGGTACACTGCTGGTTAATATGTTGCTGAATTGCATTGCCAACATGTTAATGAAGGCTTTCTGCATCAATGTTGGTAAGGAAGTTGGTTTCTGGTTTTAATCCTGATGGAGCATTTGTGTGGCCTTGGTGCTAGGATATTGCTAGCTTTGTGGAACAGGTCAGAAAAGTGTTCTCTCTCTCATTTTCTGAAGTTTAGAATTGTCTTCAGTAAGCCTACTCTCCCCTTGTCTGCCACAGGAGGCCGTGGAGGAGGTGACAAGGCACATCCACTCCCTGTCTGGGAAGAAGGATGGGCTAGTGCCCATGTTCATCAATACACACAGTGGCCTCTTCACCCACCCAGGAGTGTTCACCTTGGGCGCCAGGGCTGACAGCTACTACGAGTACCTGCTGAAGCAGTGGATCCAGGGCGGGAAGAAGGAGACACAGTGAGGCCTGATCCACTGCCTTAATGTAGAGCTGTTCTGTTCTCGTCCCTTGCTAGGAGCCAGCAGTGCTGCAGGGGTGGTCTGGCTCCTCCATATGAACATATTTCCCAACTGTGTGGGCTGTTCAGCAAGGCCCACCTTACATTCAGTGCCCGTGTTTGCAGGTGCTTAGGGCCTATGCTTTGTCTTAGGCTGTATGTCCAGTATGTACTCCCCAGGTGGGACCAGGCCTATAGTCCTTGTGTGGAACAAACAGTAAAGTTCATTTTCCTGTAGCTCTGAGCAAGCCGGTGCTGTGGCCATGGCCAGTAAGCTGACTTGTGGTATTCACAGGTTGTTGGAGGACTACATTAAAGCTGTTGAGGGGATACAGGCACACTTGGTACGGCGTTCCCAGCCTGGACAGCTCACATTTGTGGGAGAACTTGCCCATGGCCGCTTCAACGCCAAGATGGTAAGTTGTGGTGAGTTGGTGGAGCCTTTGGGCAGCTACTTCTTTCTTGGTAGCTTCCAAAGGTCGAGTCTGGATGCCAGAAAGAACAGAAAAATGCTGCTTAGGGGCTGTGTTCCATGGCCACAGGTAGATGCTGCCTGGCCTGATGTATTCCCCTGAGCCCAACAAAGAGAGGCCCTGCCTGCTCTTTTGTGGCAGACATGGGGTCTGCCAGGACCTTCCCTCTGGTCCTCCTTGTAGCTCCTGACGTGTAGCAGGTCTCTGAAAGTATCTGTGGGTTGGAGGGGTCCAGAGAGCCTGGGTCACTGTGACCCCAGAGGGCACCTGTACTGTTTTTTCTTCCCTGGACTCGGAAAAAGTGCTTGGCTTAGACCTGAGTCCACCTTGGTGCTCTGGAGCTGTGTGTGTGACAAGAGTTACTTAGGCTCACTGCCAGCTTGGATTCTTCCCTCCAGGGAGGCTAGAGACTGAATATACTTGGGGCTGGCCAGGCAACATGGGTCTGGGTCCAGCTGTGAGAAGACCCTTTGATTCCAGGACCACCTGGTGTGCTTCCTGCCAGGGACACTGGCTCTGGGCGTCCACCATGGCCTGCCTGCTGACCACATGGAGCTAGCCCAGGAACTCATGGAGACCTGCTACCAGATGAACCATCAGATGGAGACAGGTCTGAGCCCTGAGATTGCACACTTCAACCTGTACCCTCGGGCACATAATCAGGATGTGGAGGTCAAGGTGAGCCTGGGTGTGGGACTATACTGGGTAGGGGTGGTAACAGCAGGGGTGGACACTCCCTGAGCTTCTGCTCTGCCCCCAGCCAGCTGACAGGCACAACCTGCTGCGGCCTGAGACTGTGGAAAGCCTGTTCTATCTGTACCGCGTCACAGGGGACCACAAGTACCAGGACTGGGGCTGGGAAATCCTGCAGAACTTCAATAAGTACACACGGGTGAGCTGTTAGGCACCTCTCTGTGGTTTCAGCCAGGGACCTACCCCGCTGGGCTGCTGCAAAGCTCTGGCTGGCCATGCCCCTGAGGTTGCTATGGCATGGGTGGGAAGGAGCCAGCCTGCTGGGGCCTCCGTGGCTGCTTCCCAGCAGTTGTGTGTGACCCTGTTAGCATAGTCATTCTGCAGAGCTTGATGGTACCAGGGCCCTGTTGTATTTAGAGGCTCAGAGGTACCAGGTATTACTGGACTTTTCTCTCAGGACTCAATCTTTTTTGGAAAGGGTCTCTTCTCTTACCCTGTGGTGCCTAGTATTTATAAGGTGCGTGACCCAGGATACTGTCTCCCCCACCCCACCCCCCGACTGTGGTCAAGGTCTGCCTTTTACTGTCTTAGGGGGTTGGAGTCAGGGAAGATTGCAGAACTGGATGTGGTCTAGCTGTTGACACCTGTCTCTGTACCCCAGACCTCAATTGCTTCAGCTACCTGCCAGTGTCTGCATTTTCATATACAAGGTGCTGGGCCCTGTACATGCCCAGTGGCCCTGGCCTTACTGAGGCAGTTTCTGTCCCAGGCACTCAGGGGTTGTTGGCATTTTGCAGGTTCCTCTGTGGAACTTCAGCTGACCTTTGTTATTACAGTGGTCACTAACCGAGACTACCCTGAGACCATGTATGCTGGGGTCGACCAAGTAGCCTGGGTGGTGCCTCTAGCTAACAGCTCTTCCTAAGGCCTGGTTCTGCATATTAGGGCCTAAGCTGTATGTAAACTGTGTCATTGAGGCCTTGGCTCTTAATGCAGGTCCCCTCAGGTGGCTATTCTTCTATCAACAACGTCCAGAATTCCAAGAAGCCTGAGCCCAGGGACAAGATGGAGAGTTTCTTTGTGGGGGAGACGCTCAAGTACCTCTACCTGCTGTTTTCTGATGACCTGAATCTGATGAGCCTGGATACCTGTGTGTTCAACACCGAAGCTCATCCTTTGCCCATCTGGACCCCCGCCTAGGGGATGGCACCTGGCCTGGGGACTGCTTGAGGATAGAGGTGGCCCTTTTGGGTCTGGGACTTTCGCAGAGCCCAGTAGTCTTGGACAGCCACCAAATGTGGTGCTCCTGCCCAGCTCTGGGTACCTCCTGTCCCTGCTTTTCATCAGGGTGGTAGGTGGAACAAGAATCAAATCAGTAGGTATGGGATTCAGGCTGAACTAGTCTACCAGATGCCTTCGATCATGAAAATTCAGATCATGACTCTGATTCCTAAGCCTGATGGACTCTGCTGGCTGACTGCAGGGAGCCTCTCTGGTAGTCCTAAGACCTCTGGTCACCTCCTGGGGCTACTTAGGACCCCAGTGCCTGTGTTGAGTTCAGAGAGATAGCCCAAGGGGACAGTCTAGAAGGCAGCTGTGCTTGCTAACAACCTGTGAATGTTCTGACCCACAGGCCTGGTATGCCACTGTGACCTTGAGGGGCCTTGTGGCTCGAGTGTTTACGGGTTGGACTCAGGGATCCTCCTGGCTTCCCTACAGGGCTAGCAGGGCCTGGGCCCGTCTTGCTCCCAGGCTACCCTGATACAATGTGACTTCTCAGCTGAGAGAAAAATGGACTTGGTCCCACTATGACAGGTCCTGTTGTATAAGGGTAGCAGGGGAGTTTCTCTGGACTGGAAACTCCGGACTGACCTTAGAAGACAGCAAGTTCTCTGGATCAGACCTCAGTAATTGTCCCCTAAAGTCAGAACTGCTGTCCGCTGCAGACAGGAAGGGTAGACTTTGGGGAAGGTCTGTAGACAGTCCAAAAATGCCTAGTTTTTGCTGTCTCAGGATGGCCTGATGACAGTCTCCTGCCCCTGCCCCTCATCCAAAGGGACCCCTTGCTGTCTGATGGGAGCAAATGTGTACGTGAGGGAACTACATGCTCAGCAGCACCATGTGGCTGGGGATTCCGTACCTACGCCACACCTTTCTTGGAATGGGATGTTTGTACCTTGGGGTCTGAGCCTGTGGATACAAAGGCAGAGTAGGCCTCATCCTTGCTCAGTTGTCAGTGGGCTTACCCTGGGCCTTGGCTAAGATTCCCCGCTCCCAGACCAGGGCAACCCCTTCAGAAAGCCTGGCTCTGTCCTTCTATCTTAAGCCCAAGAATTCCTTTGCTTTTGTCTTTTCTGGAAGGTATCTCTGCAAAGCCAGTCCCCAGGCAGCAGAGGGTAGGGCCAACTGGGTAGAACTTAAGGCACCTCAAGGACATGCCCACTCCCCGTTTTCAGCTCAGAACATCTCAGTGGCAACCCCCGCCCTCCTCCCAGGCACAGTAGGTGCCCCAGGGGCTTCCTATCAAACTCTGGCACACCAAGCCAGCTCTGACCCCAAAGGTGTCTACAAATGACATGGCTGGTCAAATGACATCAGCCTCAGCCTCATGTCTAGAGGCTGCCTCCCCATATCAAGCTGTATCTGCTTCCTGGGGCCAGGAGCCCCATAGACTGGTGAATGGGCAGGTCTAGGCAACAGTTGAGTCTATCCCAGAAATCAGGCTGTGGGTAGGGCCTGAGCAGTTGAAGAAAATGTATATTCTCCATACCATGCCTTGACCTCCCAGATTTACGTATTCCAGAGGGGGTGCAAAGGGTCATGAAGATAGCAACTGCCCTGTGGCCCTCTGTGGGTCAGATTGGGTAGAGGATGTCCACAAGCTGAGAGCTCTTGCTGGCTGTGGTGGAACAGAACAGACAACATGGGAACAGTCCTGGGAGGGGGAGGCTGGTCCTTGGTGAAAACAGATTTCCCTCCTTGTCATCCTGAAGCACAAAACCTGAGAGCTGGAGTCCGTGCTTTATTAAATGTCTTAACTGGCCTCAGCACGTTGTGTGCAGTGTGTTGTCTTACTGGGGACATGTCCCTGAGCGTTGTCCCCACATGTGGACCAGTGCAGCACAGAAAGGGACACATCCGGCCTGGAAACAAGACGTTTATCCAACTCCTTCCACCCACCAGCCTGTTGCTTAAGACCCATCCGAGGCAGGCCACCATGGATCTGGACAGTCCCTCAGATGCAGGGCAGTCTGCCTGGCCACAGCTGCTCACGTGAAACAAGGAATTGCCGAGCCCTGCTTGGTCTTAGCTGGAGAGCCCCACCATGGATCTGGACAGTCCCTCAGACGCAGGGCAGTCTGCCTGGCCACAGCCGCTCACGTGAAACAAGGAATTGCCGAGCCCTGCTTGGTCTTAGCTGGAGAGCGCTGCCCCTTAGGCCCAGGCCCCTACGGCACTGTTGGCTACTGTTTCCATCTGGCTGCCTTCACCCACTCATGAATAAGAGTGGCCTCCAGTTTGCGTGCCTCCACGACAGATGCCGGGTCTTCTGGATTAGATGCTCTGAAGAGTAGGAAGATGGGGATGGACCACTCAGGGTGGCAGCAAGACCTCAGCACACAAGGTGAGCTTCATGCCCCCCTAGCGCACACCCCATCAATGGCCCAAGCTCAGCTAGAGGGAACCAAATAGACTGTCCCCCACTATACCTGAGGTCTAGGTGATGTGCTCCCCCCTCGATGGTGACAGCAATGACCGATGAGCTCAAGTTGTTCTGGATCTGGTGGGTCAGGAATTCAGGCGTGTGGCCTGTGCTTTGGGCCACACACGGTCCTGTCATGTCCCCTCCACCCCCAGCTCTGCTGTAGATGCCTCACACCGTGTGTGGAACTGAAGTAGTAGTGAGCTGACTGCACAGCCTATGGCTTCGGTGGAAAGGAGAGGTGATGTTTGATGGGCCACGTTAAGTCATCAAGAGAAGCAGAAATAAGGAGGGGAGGAAATGAGAACAGAAATGGCCAAGCTTGAACCTGGGTACAGATCTGTGAAGGCAAGGTTGGCTCTCTGAGTAAGAGTCTGGCCAAATAGGGAAACACTGCACAGAGCCACAGCAACAGCCTAAGTACTGACAAGAGCTCACACATGGGGCCAGCAGCTGCCCAGGCCAGGACTTACTCCGCCTCCTGCCCAGGGGTCTAGGTCACCATTGGAGAAGATGATGTTGCTGGCAGCTTTGAGGTCTGGAAGGAACATGGCAGATGGTGGCAAGGTACCCAGTCTGGCCCTCAAAGCTGGAGCTGCAGAACCAGCTTGCTTGGTACCGAGAGCAGGATCCTGCCCAGCACCCTGTCTCCCCAGCCCCAGCCTTTACCACCACCCCAGAAGCTGGTCTGCAGCCAGTCTGGCCGGGGCCACACTCCCCACGTATCCAGACAGTACTGCTGTCGGAGCGCATTGGTGAACGGGAGGTCAGGGAACATGTCGGTCACGTTGTTGCTGTCAAACGTCAAGTTGATCTCAGTGCAGGCCTGCAAGTGTCCCATACTTAAGTGAGACAGGCAAGGCACAGGCCCCTACCCCTATATCTGATAGTTCAGCTCACCTACATCAACACACCTGGTAGTCCCAGGCCTTGGCATCAGAGCCATTGCCACAGCCAGTGGGGTCAGCACAACTTTGGTATAGCCGGTAGATGTCATAACAGGGCTCCAAGCCAGAGGAATTGTAGACCAGCCCTAGGGAGGAGGGGTTCTAGAACCAGCAGCCAGACAGACAAGCTGCTTATTCAGGCCACTTTACCCATCCCCTTGGAAGGAAGGCTCCTGCAGGTGGTTGAGTCAGTAGGTCCCACATGCCTTAGTGAGGACAGTCCTTGAGCTCTCAGCCTTGGGGTCTATGGAACATGTGCCATCGGCGCTAGCCTGGCTGCTATGGCAAGCCAGTGACACCTAACAACCCCTCCCCCGAAACACAGTTGGGCAGGATAGAGCATGTGGAATTTCATGGCTGGGAACCTCAAGGGCCCCAAGGGGCTCAGGGGTCACTGTGCCTGTCCCTAGGGATGCTAGGGAGCCATGCCTCTGCCCAGCCCCCACCACACAAGTTCTGTCCTTTGCGGAGCTGTTGTACCCTGCTGTACCTCAGCTAGCCTAGCTTATGAGGTAGGGCCCCAGGCCAACGCTGCAGGTACTTTTCCCCTCCCAGCTCTGTGTCAATGTTTGAGTCTTCCACCCTTGCCCCACAAAGCCCAACGCACCTGCCAATGCTCGCAGACCCACGATCCTCTGGTCCTCACTCAGCAGCCGTTCACAGCCCACCTGGAGTAGAGGGGCAGCAGAATACCTCAGTGAAGGTCTGTTGCCAACTCGACCTTCCCTGGTCCCAGAACAAGGGTCAGGGTTGCTGGCCTGCATAGACCCAACAGCAGAACAATATCTCATGGTCCCAGAGCAGGTGCAAGGTCCTTGGGCTGGGTCTGCACTAGGCCCCTGCACCTGGGAGAGGTGCCTCACCCTGACAGGGTTGGCAGGAAGGTGCCCTAGGAAGTCGGTAGGATATGGGTAGTCCATCATGGCCAGCACAGTAAATGCATTCCGGGCAAACCCAAAAAGCTGAGTCAGGTCCTCTGTGCTAGAAAGCGGCTGGCAGGTGCCAAAATCCTGGCTGATGGTGTCATAGGCTGCAAAGAGAGGGCCAGGGGCAGAGGCTTAGGAGACTGCTGGCACGTATAAAGAGCAGGTTGGAGTGCCCAAGGTGGGCAGTGAGGGAGGGCCTCCTCACCTCCCTGGAGGAACAAGTCCTTGATTTGCCGGAAGGCATCCTGCACAGCCTGGGCACACTTAGGACTCTGGTCACTGAAGTCCTGGAAAAGAGAACATGGTTGTGGCACCGCCATACCTGCACTGGCCTGGGAGACCCTAGGACCCTCACTCACCGCTGTGACATCCTGGAAGAATTGGTAGGAGTTGCCGAGGCCTGCAACTGCTAGGACAGGTGCACTGGCTGCCAGTGCTCCAGCCACCAGGTGGGGGTACTTCATCCTCATGTAGGCGCTCAGCATCCCCCCATAACTAAGTGTGGAGCACAGGATTATGCCTGCAGAAGGCTGCCTGCATGCTCAGGCCAGCAGCCTCATCCTGGCCTCCAGGCTGAGGACCCTAGGCTGGATCTCCCAACCCCCGCCCCCACTTCCTCTTTCCCTCCTCAGAAGCCACAAGTGAACAAAGGACTTGAAACTCCTGAGGCCTACAAATTCTGATCCCAGGCCCCATACAGATGCAGCCTTCACTGGGAAAAGGCATTTATGGGTGCACACTGTTGAGACAGAAGCAAAGGGGAGGTCACCCCGCCCCATTGTGTGGCAACATAGCACAACACAGCCAATAAGATCCACTCAGGAAGGAGGGCCTCCACGAGGAAGCAAAGCTGAGCCCAGTACTGCCATGTTGGGAGTTAAGACCTGACCACACATGGGGGCTGAACCGAGGGTGTGGAGAACTCAGAGGCAGCTCTCCGGCCCTTCTGGCTTAGGGTGTTACCCGATGCAATGGGGTGGGCATCAGAAGGTTGGTCAAACTCCTTCAGATCTGTCATGGGGTCAGACATGGCTAAACACAACTCTATCTTGAAGGGAAATCAAGGACCCACCTCCCTCCAAAGGCTATGGTGGGAGCATCCTGGGCTCCAAGGTCCTGCTGCAAGGCCTGGAGCAGCACAGCAAAGTCAGCCAGGGCCTGCTCGATGGTCAGCAGCTGTATATACCCACGCTGTGTGGACTGTATTCCGAATGGAAGAGATTGTCCATAGTACCGCTGTGGGCAGCAAGGACGGATGGCTGAACCAGTGCCTCTGGCCCCGCCCGGCCCAGGACCACCAAGAACCAGCCAGGTACCCACGTGCTCCGCAAAGATAAGCAAGGCCTCCTGCTGGGCTGCCAGTTCCACCATGAAGCCAGAGTTGTTGGCGAAGGCCCAGATGTCCCCCTCATTCCCTGTGTAGAAGAAGACGGGCCCCTCGCCCTTCTTCCAGAACTTGTCTGTGGGGAGTAGGTAGGCATTGGTGAGCCTAGGGATGAGTGGGCAGGGCACATGTTGTGGGGACAGCACTCACCTGACAACAGAAACCGCTGACCGAAGGTTCTGTTGCCAAAATTCTCGAAGTTGAAATGATCCAGATATTGCTCAAAATACTTTTCCTGAAAGTCAGGGTCTAAAACTCTGTGGGCTGAGGGCAGGTGCGGAGACTCAGGGGCTGGCAGGGACCATCAGGGACCCAGAGGGGTTGTGAGAGAGGGCTTCCAGTCTACACTCACCTCTAACCTGGAGGTCAGACAGCACCAGTGCCAACAGCAAAACCAGGGCCCAAGAAAGGACCCCATGGCCCAGCCGGACTCTAAGCCGTAAGCTCATGGCTGATTCTGAAGGCAGGCACTGTCGGTCATGTGACCAGCGTCACGTGGTAGACGGGCCCTCATCACATGACAGCCTGGAAGGGCTATTTTAACTGTGACTGGATTCTAGAGAGGGCCGACCTACCTCTCCCTCTTGTGTCAGCGTCTGGGTTCTGTGGTCCTGGTCTTAAGAATTCCCCTGGGTTCCTCCTGTGTTTCCGTGAGATGATCCCCATGGAAACCCAGGTCGCAGGTCAAGGACCAAGGGCTTAGAACTCAGGGTTGTGTGGTTGTAGTGAATAGAGCCCAAGCTGAGCACTAGAGTGATGGGAGGGTCCCACGTCATTCTTCCAACATCCCCCCGCCCCCCCCCCGACCAGGGACACTGCTGGGAGACATAGTCAGGGGTCTCAGGCTGCTGAGGTTCATCTACTTACTCATTCAGCTTGTCAGCAGACTTATGCCCTGGAAACTGAATGCTGAGCTGGTCTCATCACCATGTACACAGCCAAAGTGCCCACCCTGACCCCTGCCATGTATAACACATGGTCATGACTGGCAGCTAGCTTCACTGCCAGGCCCACAATCACAGGACGAGGGAAACTGGGACAGTTCTGGCTGGCCCAAGAGAAGAGCCTCAGGAAGGCTGGAGTGAAGATGGGCCCTGTAGAGGAACAGTGGTTCTGAGAAGTGGATGCCGGACTTGTCCAAGTGACAGCAGCGAACTTGGAGCAGTATGTGCCTGCCTCTGCCTCCCAAGTGCTGGAACTAAAGGCATGCACCATGCCTGGCTTCCATTCCAATCTTAAGTACTGGTACCAACTCTCGGATTACATGCTTACACAATGATCTAGGTCACAGAATAATAGCTAACCATTAAAGAGGTTGCAGGGTTCAGAGAGGAAAAACTGGGAGCAAAGGCAGGAAGCAGAGGTAAAATCTGTAGGTGGTCAGATGAGCTAAGACACAGGCCCACACAGCAGGCCATGTGTCCTGGTGGCTGGCAATCTGAGTGTCAGTTTACAGTGGGCCTTGTAATCCAGGCTGGAGAAACCAGGCATGAGCTGAAGCCCAGGCTAGAAGCAAAGGTTCTCTGCTTTGGTTATTTCTCTGGGCAAGATTCCTGATGGGTAACTGGAAGAGATAAGCAAACTTCCCCTTATAAAACACGTAAACCCATGGGGACTAGAGATGGCTCAGCGGTTAAGAGCACTGACTGCTCTTGCAGAGGACCTGGGTTCAATTCCAAGCACCCACATGGCAGCGACGAACCATCCTTAATTCCAGTTCCAGAGGAATCCAACACCCTTTTCTGACCTCCATGGCACTGCATGACACAGGTGCACTCACATACATGCAGGCAATACACTCAAACACATAAAATAAAAATTATATGCATGACATGGGTGCACTTACATGCAGGCAATACATGCATACACATAAAAAATAAAATTGAATAAAAATTATTTAAAAAATCCAAACAGGTAAACCCATGAAAGACTAGTATTCTACACAGAACCCAGAGTAGGCCTAACCTGCTTCCTCATGAGGAACCCCATGACCAAAGTTTTACTCAAGGCTCCTTGGGGGGGCTGGAGAGATGACTCAGCAGTTAAGTGCACTGCTCTTGCAGAGGACCCAGGTTCAATTCCCAGCACCCACATGGTGGCTAACAACCATCTGTAACTCTAGTTCCAAGGTCTGATGCCTTCTTCTGACCTCCTTAGACATTGCAGGACACAGGTGCACTCACACCTGCAGCACACTCATACACATAAAATAAAAATTTTGTTTTTTTTTCAGGCAGGGTCTCCCTGTGGCCCCAGCTGGCCTGGAACTCCCATAAATGTGCCTGCCTCTGCCTCCCGAGTGCTGGGATTAAAGGGGTGTGCCATCACACCCAGCAATAACTAATTTTTTAAATGGACTTGGAATTAAAGTTTGTAAGATGAACTGCAGTTTGCTGTGTATGTGACTCTGAAGAAACAGAAAATCCCAAGCAGTATCTACAGGAAACTCCTCGTTTTTGCTCCAGGCCCACTCTTCCAGACATCTGGACTATGCATTTTTGGGTCTGTAAGGGCTACCCACTTGGCTAGCCCCTTCTTTGACCATCTGCTCTCCTTGCCACCCACCCCCCTTAAGATAGGCTCTCTGTAGCACCAACTGATCTAGAAGCCACTTTGTAGTCACTTCTCAGAGATCTACCCGCTTCTGCCTCCCCAGTGCAGGGATTCAAGGAATGCGCCCCCCCAACCCCCACCCCACCCTGTAGCAATACCTTCGAGGCTATACTTAGCCCTGCACTAGAAGCTGTTTATGATGCACTGACCCAACTGCTCCAGCACTTGACCCCAATCCCTAGGGACCCTACTTTGCCCTCCACTCAAGATAATAAATTGTGGGTGTGCTTGAATTAGCTTATCAAAAAGCTGGAAACAGAATCCACACTTTCTGTAGCCTATGGATCAAAGGGCAAGCTTCTCAGATAGGGATGGATCCAAGCTTAAGAGTTCCCCAACTGCTGCTGGAGAGACTGAAGTGAGAGGCAAAGGAACAAATCTGGGGTTCACTCTTGGCTATTAAAACTTAATGGTATGAGTAAGGCTGATTATTTATTCAGGTGCAACAGTCACACAGCTGGGAAACGCCGACCACCACATGAAAATGAACATGTCCAGCCTGAAAAGTTTCTTCAGCAAAGTCTGGGGCTAGAGACGGTGAGGATGCAGCATGGAGAGGTCACCTAAGAGCTCTATGTCAAAGGAAATAGTTGTGCATTTTGATTGCAGTGGTAAGCACACAAATGGTTCCATGTGAAGGTTTGGAGCCGTGCTTGTGGCTCCTGGGTGTGAACACTGTATTAAGTCACATAAGATGCAACTAATGGGGATATAGGGGAAGGTCTTGGAGACCTCCCTGAACTTTTAACTTTACAAGAAGGTATAACTGAGTTGTTTTTTAAAAAGTTCTTTCGAGAATTTATCCAACCAACTGCTTATCCAGGAGGAGCCTGAGGCTTTGATCTTCCTCAGGGACCCTCTCCTGACCCAGGCCCTTGGCTTACCTGTAAGGAGCTAAGGTGCTAAGGCTTACAATTTGCTTTTAAAGCCTGTAGAAAGACAGCCATGGAGTTCAGTAAAAGCCTAGTTTGTCTTACAGATGTTGATCCCAATAATGGCAGCTGCCACTGCCCCTGCCATCTTGACCAGGTCTGGACTCACTGATGCTATGCTATGCTGGATGGAACACATTCTTCCCAACAACCCCTTTTGGGAGAGCTGATGGGTAGGGAGGAACAGAGCCCCTTGATTTGGGGCCTGGACTGCTTTAACTCTGCAGTAGGCTGCCTTCCCTAGCTGCTCTTGTTAGTGTGATGAGGGAGGTGCCACCGGCTTCCTGAATGAAAATACAGCTCTGAATCAAGTTACTGTGCCCCAAGCACAACACAAGGGCAGAGACAGCACGGGGCTGGCTGGTAGAGAGCCAGGCACCACTGATACGGGGAGACTGTGTCTTCATCTGAGACCCTAAGCTCCGATCTCAGGGAAAAGTGACCTGCCAGGATGGGGTGTGTTCCTGATTGGCTCAAAACCAGGCTACCTGGACACCACTACACCCAGATGCTACCTACCTGGAGAGTGGTGTCTGGTTCTTGGGGGCAATGCTCAAAACACAGTAGCTGCTGCATTTGTGGGCATGGTTGGGAGACTGAGGCATCGGCAGAGATCCAGGGAAGGCAAGGAGGGCTGCCTTCATTCCAGTGTGCAGACAGTTCTCAGAGCCAGCCTTAGCCATGGACATCCAGGCTCTTCTGTCGGTCTCAGCTGAATGTGGGGTTGAGACCTTCAGCTTCACTGCAGTTACTGGTTCTGCTGCCAAGGTTGGGGGACAGAAGAACCCCTTTAACCATACCCCTACAAAGCCCGCAAACAGCAGCCTGCGCTTCTCAGTCTGCCGAACACACGGCTGGCCTGTATGCTGGCAGCGTGACCATTACCCATGCTGCCCTCCTCACACATAAGCATAATCCCCTCACCCTACCCTAGAGCCTCCTCTAGTGTCATTCTCCAGGGTCCCCAACCCTCTGTATCAGCGGAATCCCAGAGCCAGAAATGAAGCCAAAGTAACCTGTCAGTCACAGTCACTGGGTCCATGGGGGATGGGAGGGGCCCCACCCTTGTGGAGTAAACCAGAACATCCCCTTCTGTGCCCCACAGGCCAGAGACACCTCTGGGCCTGCATTCCTAACACAGAGCCTGGCCAGGGCCGCTTCCCAACCCTAGTGCACCCCAAGACTGAAGAGGCTGGGAGCAGGTCAGTTTTCCTGTGGCTGCAGCAGCCTGGCTTGCTCTTCATCCAGGATGAATGGGGACTGAAGCTCTCGGCCTTGCAGGTAAGCTTCCAACCCCTAGAAACAAGTGGTTACAGTGTTGAAGTGTCCATCTCAGGTACCCACACCTCCTCCAGTCACCCAAAAGAGCCACAATCCTTGGAGCAAAACCCCCAGTGCTGCTCTGAGTCAGGGAGGGTCAACAGAGGATTATGTCCCTGTGTCAGGAAGACACTCCAAAGCCTTACTGGGCTGTCTATCCTTGGACTCAGCCTTGGGTCTTTCCTACCCCCGCCCCTCCTCCCAAAACTTGCGAAGGCCTTCAGATCTCTCACCCCACCCCAATTCCAAAAGGTCTTCAGCACCCCACTGGCTAATTGAGGCAGGGCTGTGGCTTGTCCACCCTGGTGCCGACCTCTTCCATTTTTCCTTTGGCTCACACAAGCCGGACCCCAGGAAATCCTTAAGACCGGAATGGCACTCTCACCTCTCCAGAGTAAGACACTAAGGGTGATATCTCACAGATGGCTGGAGGGTCTCCATTTGCAGGTAGGCTGAGGGAAAGCACTAGTCAGCATCCGTCTCTTGAATGACTGTCAGGGACCCTCCCAGCACCCCAGGCAGGAGGTAGAAAGTTGTCTGCCCAGCATGAGTGCCACACACCTGCCTCATTTCCCCAGTAAATTCCTCCCTCTGCACAGCTCAAACCTATGCAGGCCATCTGCCAAGTAACAGGCTCTGGCCTGGTTGAAACACACTCTACAGAGGTCCTGCATGGGGCCCAGACAGCAAAACCAACCTGCAACTCCAGCAGTTAGAGAAGTTTCTGCCCTGAAAGTCAAACTCCATCTCTTTAGGGACCGTGCCTAGACCTCATCTTCAAAGCTTCTAAGAGTAAGTCTGGGAGTCTTGAGCCCCTCTCCCTGGTACCCTGAGCATAACTTGACCCAACAACAAAGCAGGCTGTCACCAGCTGGGCACACTGTCACCTGCACTTGGTGTGATGCTGGGGCAGAAGCCCAACTTGGGACAATGGCAGAGTCAACAGGGCCCTGGAGATGAGGATACTGCCCCCAGGGTTTCCTGGAGCCACTCACCCAGGCAATTCAGGAAGCTGGGCTCCATGCATTTCCAAGAAACGTGCTCCAGCCTGTAGAGCCCAGCGGTAGTGCTGAGCCAGCAGAGCCCTCCTAGTAGTAGAGGGGTTGTCCCTCGTGGCTGTGTCCGCATTCTTCAATGGTGCGAATTCTTCCTCCCGATGTACTTCAAAGGCAACAAAGTTCCTGGTGGGAAGAAGGGCCCATCACCCCATATCCCCGGTCAGCTGCTGTGGTCTGGACAGGCAAGGCTGGGTCAGATTCCCAGGAACAAAATGGGGGGGGTCTGTTCCCATGAGCAGAGTGGTATAGGCAGTACCCCAGGCACTGGAAGCATACTGTCCTGGGGTTCTGGGGAAGCCTCAAATCCTCCAACTCTCCCTTGCCAGATGTCGAGAACCAGAGGACACAGGCACTGGAACTCAGGTCAGGTCACTGGGTACTCAGGCGGGGTTCAGTGTCCTCCAGGCCCTTTAATGATCTCGCCCTGCTCTGACATTCCCTGAGACCAGCCTACAGTTCCTCAGCTCCCCCATCCCAAGCCTCTACTTTCCCACCTAGCTGGACCTCAGAACCCACTACTGGAACAGAGAGAAAGAGAAGTGAAAATTAAGTGACTTCTACCACTAACTTAGCAAACTGGAACACATCAAACACAAACTTCTCCATCTTTATCCCATTCGGTCTTAGCGGCTTTACCAGATTTCCCTCCTCGTCCACGAATGGGACCTTCTTCACAGCCACGTGGGGCTTCAGCAAGGGCTCAAATTCCCTGGGGGCAGGAGGGCAAAAGGGGTCTGTTTCAGACAGGGTATTCCTGGGATGCCATCCCCACTTCTAGATACCTGGCCAGGTAGGACAGGTTGTCAGGGAGACCTCACCAGGCAGCACTATGGCCCAACTGTGTATCTGGGGAGGACAGAGCTTTCCTCCCTGCATTCCCGGGGCCAAGTAAGACACCATCACTACATTGATACCCAAGCTAATGAAACCAGCAGGCCACAGGGTAGAGGTAGCATCCATGGGCAGTGGGGACGATATGCGGAAAGCAGCCTTGACCACAGAGACTCACATCAACGGTCCAGAGTGTGACTCACATGGGATTCAGCTTGTTTAGATATGGCGAACTTTCTTCACCTACCCCTTGCCACTCCCAGGGGTGGCCCAGCTCAGAGCACAGCAGCTCCAGCTGCCGTAGCAGTTCTCTGATTCAGCCTAGTCTGAGACTGCTAATCTCTGGTCAGGGCTGGCACTCCACAGCCACCTGCCAACACACACCTGGTAACCATCTCAAGGAAGCCTCGGGTGAAAAAGTGGTTGCAGATGTTGCCCGCGTTGTAGAGCAGGCTGCCGTTGGCCCCACGCAGCCCAGCCATCTCAGGGCTGATCTCGCTGTATTCCACCACCTGGGGGACACCGTCCACCTGGCACACCACGCCCACTGGCTCCTCAGGGTATGCTTTTTCCACCACCTACAGCCAGTCACCAGGGATGGGCTCAGAGCACTGTGAGCAACAGGGCTGAGCTCAAGCAAGGGAGACCGCCAAGTTCCAATGAGAAGCAAGGTTTGGTGTTCACCTTGGCACCACAGTCTGCTCCCTGTAGCACACAGAATCCGATGAAGACTGGGTCAGCCAGCCGCACCAGGATGTTGTCCACACAGTACACATGCACAAACTCCACACCCCGGTGCTCCATGTCCTCTAGGATCTGGTGATCGGCCAGCGCGCGGTACAAACCCCCATTGCCGTCTGCAAAGGATAAAAGATCGATCTGCTCATGGGGGCTCAGTACAGGAAACGCTGCAGGACCATAAACCACCAAGAGCTTTGCAATTGTACCAATCATGTGACACTTAAGACTTAAGGCCGAAGAAGGGAGAGCCCAGCCTGCCGGAGCACATCCAACCTGGAACCCAAGCCTCCTGACCAAGGCCCACCTTCACCCCTCCCGCACTCCATGGTCCAGGTAGGGCAGCCCTTCTCCATTCCAGGGGTGAACCACACCTGGAGCCATGGCAACTTTGTCTTTACGCTCCAAGATGGCCTTGCCCTCAAAGGTCACAGCAGGTACCATTCGCTGCTCAAATAGCACCACATTGGTGGGGTCCAAGTGGAAGAAGTTATGTTCCTTGAAGAACTTGGCTGTGGGCTCTAGCGTAAACTCACTGGTCATGATATACCTGGAAAGGCGGTAATAGAGAGCTGCCTCCGGGGACTCTGGCCCATCCTGGCAGATGTGGCTGTAACAGGCTTAGTGGGGTTCAATAGGGAAGGTGCTGGGCTCTGTCTAGGGCTGTGTTGGGTCTCAGGTTTTGGTGTGGGGCAGGGATGATCACTCTGGAAGTGTGACACACTTCCGGACACACGGACACACACCAGGGCACAGAGCAAAGGGTTCCGTGGCGCGTGCCAGCCAGCTCTTCAACACGACGAATCCGTTCTGCCTGCAGTTGGTACAGGGTCTTCTGGCTGGGCAACCCCACTTGATACATGCCCTTGGGGTAGGTGACGCCTAGGCGAGTGCCCTGCCCACCGGCCAGCAGCAGCACAGCCACCTTGTTCAGGGCAATCTGTCGGAAACCTGGGAGCGAGGGGCGTCGTTAGGCAAGAGCGCCAAGCGGGAGCGGGATACTGTCCGACTTCAGGGGCCAGCGCGCGCAGGAGGGAGGAGCAAGGCAAACCACGCCGGTAGTTTCCGAGCCCCGCGCTGGGTACCGACTCTTCCGCCGCCGGCTCCCTCCCCGTCCCACCGCCGCCTACCTTCCTCCTCCCACCGCCGCCGCGTCTCGGGGTCGCAGCGGATCGCGCTGCCCACGCGTTCCGGGGGCAGCGGCCGCAAGCGCGCGGCCAGGTCAGGCAGCGGGCCCGGGGGGAGCGCGCAGGCGGCGGCCGCGCCCCGGCAGTGCTCCCGCAGCGCGTCGGGCTCCAGCGACGCCAGCTCGCCCAGCAGAGCCGCGCGAGACCCCGGGGCCAGTTCTGCCCAGAAGCGCAGGAGATGGTCCTGCTCGGCGCGCCGCAGCCCCGCGCGTACGTCCCGCTCCGAAGCCATGGTGCGCCGCTACCGCAGGCCCGGCCGGGGCTCGTGACTCGCGCGCGCCTTGCGACCGGCGTCACGGGACCCGGAGGGTGGTGCGGACCCCAGAGGGGCCGGCCCACCGCCCCGCCTCCGCCTCTGCCCCTGCAGGGTCCTCCCTGGCTCCGCCCCGTCTCCGGCCGGGTTCGGTCCGGCATCCCCTGTCCCCGTTTTCTGCACGACTCAGGTCCCCACTAACCCTGCCCCCAAGATACCCTCCCTTTCCTCGGCCGGGCTCCCACCTCCCGGACACTCCTCCCCTGAAGAACTGCAGTCGGGGCTGGAGAGACGGCTCAGAGGTTAACGGCACTGGCTGCTGTTAGAGAACCTGGGTTCCCTCCACGTGGCGCCTGTAACTTCAGTTCCAGGGGATCCTTCGCCCTCTTCTGACCTCCTCAGGCATTGCTCGATATGGGTGCACCTACCTCCATGCAGGCAATACTCTGCTATACATAAAATAAAAATAACAGCCGGGCGTGGTACAGAAGCAGACGGATCTCTATGAGCTCGAGGCCCCCTTGGCCTACAAAGCGAGTTCCAGGCCAGCAGGGCCTACAAGGAGACCTTGTCTCAAAAAAGACCAAAGTCGTAATAATAAAAATAATAAAAGAAATATTTAAAAATAAATAAAAATTTAAAAAATGGACTGGAGAGATGGCTCAGTGGTTAAGAGCACTGACTGCTCTTGAAGAGGACACAGGTTTGATTCCCAGCACCCACATGGTAATTAACCATGGTCTGTAACTCAGCTTTCACAGGAATCAGATGCCTTCTTCTGACTTTCCCTGACCTCTGGGCATTTCATGGCACAGGTGCACTTAACACACATGCAGGCAATACACTCATACACACAAAATAAAAAAAATAATAAATAGATAAAATGTTTATTTTATTTGTATGAGTGTATTGCCTGCATGTATGTGAGTGCACCCGTGTCGTTCAATGCCTGAGGTCAGAAGAGGCCTTCGGGTTCCCCTGGAACTAGAGTGAAGGACGGTTCATAGCTGCCATGTGGGTGCTGGGAATCAAACCCAAGGGTGTTGGATCCCCTGGAACTGGAGTCACTGTTGGATGCTGGGAACTGAACCCAGGGACCCAGGGTTCTCTGGAAGAGAAGTCAGTACTCTTGCTTTTTCTTTGTTTTTTTTTTTTGGCTTTTTTGAGACAGGGTCTCCCTGTAGCCCCAGCTGTCCTGGAACTCGCTAAGGAGACCAGGCTGGCCTCGAACTCACAGAGATCCACATGCTTCTGCCTCCCAAGTGCTGGGATTAAAGGCATGCACCACCACACCTGGCTATATTTTTTTAAAGTATGAAAACAGCTTCAGCCATATTTGAACAATACTTTCTTTAGAAACTAGCTTTTAAAGTACAGGCACTTGGGGGCTGAAAAGATGGCTCAGCAGTTAAGAGGTTAAGAATACTAAATGTTCGGGGTTAGAGAGATGGCTCAGCGGTTAAGAGCACTGACTGCTCTTGCAGAGGACCCAGGTTCAATTCCCAGCACCCACATGGTGGCTATGAACTGTCCTTAACTCCAGTTCCAGGGGAATCCAAAGCCCTCTTCTGACCTCCGCAGGATTACACGACACGGGTGCACTCATACATGCAGACAATACACTCATACACATAAAACTTAAAAAAAAATACTGAATGTTCTTGCAGAAGACTGGAGTTTGAATCCCAGCACACGCATACACATAAAAATATAAAAAATAAAAATATAAAAATAGCCAGGCTTGGTGGCGCCTTTAATCCCAGCGCTCCGGAGGCAGAGGCAGGCAGATCTCTATGAGTTCAAGACCGGCCTGGTCTACATAGTGGGTTCCAGGACAGCTGGGGCTACAGGGAGACCCTGTCTCAAAAAAGACAAAAAATAAATAAATGAATACATATTTTTTTAAAAGTACAGGCACGTGCCTGAATGTGGTGGCACATGCCTTTAATCGCAGCATTCAGGGGAATTTCTGGGAGTTCAAGGCCAGCCTGGTCTACATAGTTCCACACCAGCCAGGGCTCCAGCCAGGACTAAGTAGTGAGAACCTGTCTCATTAAAATTTAATTCAATTCAATTCAAAGGACGCTTTAGAACTCAAATGAAAAGTTGCATCTTGCTCAGTTCTGCTGTGGCCAGCCCCTGTGAAGGCGGGCAGCTTCTGCACACAGACTCCTTAACACATCCTCAGATGAGAATTCTAGCTTCACACAGTGGAGACCACAGCACATTCTGGACTGGACAAGGATTTGAGTTTCCCTCCAGAGCTTAGGCTTGCCTTGGGAACTTCATAGCCGCTTTCCTCTTGCCTGGACACTCTTTCCCAGTCAGGGCTTTTCTGCTACTTCTCCACCACTGTGTGAGAAATAAACTCACACAGGTAGAATATTGTTTGGTGCATTGCTCTCCCTCTATCACCTTAGATGAAGCCTAGCTAGCACATAAGAGACACTTGGAGGGGGCTGGAGAGATGGCTCCACAGATAAGAACACCGACTTCTTGCAGAAGACCCTAGTTTGAATCCCAGCAACCACATGGCAGCTAACAACTTTCTGTAACTCCAGAGAGAAAATACGTTTAGCTCATAATGCTAGGGATTCAAAGTGCAAGACTGGGCAGGCTCCACTAGTTCTACCTATGATGGGGGCCTAATGGCAGATGGTATTTGTAGTTTACAGTGGCAGGAGCATGTGTGGAAGAAAGAGATCACATCTTAAGACAGGAAGCCAGAGAATGATTCAGAGGTCAAGTTTGGTCTTTTTTTTTTTTGTCTTTTTGAGACAGGGTCTCCCTGTAGCCCCAGCTGGCCTAGAACTTGCCATGTAGACCTGATGACATGTACTTTG